TCCTGCAGTAAAGGAATGCTATTTCACTTTATTTAACCCAGTCTTTCCTGAACTTATGTGAGCATGGGATCTTTATGCCCAAAGTACCTAAGATACCTGGGAAACAGTGTTCTGTGGAATACACTTTAGGAAACCTCAACCTATAAGATAAATTATAGTACAAGCTCTCCAGCATTTGGCTCCTACTTAATTTGGCCCCATCACTAACCATGCTGAGGTTCTTTTGGTTCATGAAAACACACCAAGCTTTCAAGCTTGTGCCTGCTGTTTGTTAGAATGCACATGTTTTTTGCCTACTGGCAAAGTCCTACTCATTCTCTAAGTCCCAATCTAAGCATAATCAATCTGTGAAACTTCCTTAACTCCCGGGAACAATAAAGTGCTTTCCATTTCCAGTGTAAAGTGAATAAACTTTATACTTTATTCACTGTACTGAAAGTAATTGGTTTGACAGGTTTATCACCCTGCTGGTTCCTTCATTAATGAGTTAAATCTTGGACATGTACTCACTTAAAACTATCGTCTTTCTTTTATAACTTAAGTAGATGATTCAGTTTGTGAGCTAAAAGTATAAAACCAAACACGTTCAGAACAGGTTGGAGGTGTGAAGACCTCTGTGTTGAGGTAGGAGATTCAGAAAAGACACACTGTGCTCCCCCGTGCCAGATGAGATTCATCAGTGCTGATCTGTGTGCCGGGCAGAGTCACCCCGTGAGCCAGAGACAGTACCTGTCGTGGGGGGTAGAAGGCAACTAATAGCATTTCTTTTTTTTTTTTTTTTTTTTTTGACTGTTCTGGCCTCTCCCGTTGCGGAGCACAGGCTCTGGACGCGCAGGCTCTGCGGCCATGGCTCACGGGCCCAGCCGCTCCGCAGCATGTGGGATCTTCCTGGACCGGGGCACGAACCCGTGTCCCCTGCATCGGCAGGCGGACTCTCAACCACTGCGCCACCAGGGAAGCCCAATAGCATTTCTTAATGCCTGTCAGTTTAAGAAAGACAAGCACAATGATAAAAAAAAAGTCTTAGACAATGTCATGGCCCAGCAGCACCAAAACTTTCTCATATTCCTTTTGAGTTGAGTTTGATACAGCATTCCAGCCAATGCTATTGCTACCAGCTGAGAATGCCCCAAATCTGCCCACTTCAGGAAACCAGAGGGTAGGGACTGCTGCTCAGAAAAGTGCTTTTGGCAGGAGGCAGAGTAGACACAGACTGTGTTCAGCTTCTCGGAAGTTTAAATGGACTGTATGTATCCCCTGGCCATATCATGCTCTGCTAAGATTTACAGTGGTCAAGCCTCAAAGACAAGACAGCAATAAATCCAATCCACATGGCTCTTGTAAAAAGGCATCTATTTGGCTTTTAATACAAAATGAGTCAGAGAAACAAAGAAAGAAAATATCATACAAGTTATTGAGTTAAAAAAAAAAATCCCCAACGAATAAATTTCGGTCACATTCCCTGTCTTCAGCCTAAATTAGGAAACAGGAGACTATGCACCAACCAATGTGTGTCCCTTTGAAGAAACCTTACTTAAAAAAAAAAAAAAAAAAAAAAAAAAAAAGAGGGAAAAAAAAAGTCAATCCCTGAAATCTGGCAGGTGGTTTTAAGAGGCCACTGTAAGGTTGCCTTAATGATCCTGATGAAATAGGATACTGGGATACTTGTGGTTGCTGAAATATGGCCACCTCCTCCTTGTTTCTTGCTAGTAATGATCTTCATCTGAAGGCAGGATGCTGGCTTGGGCATCATTTGATGCCACTTATGCTGTCTGAGGTCTCAGGGTCGAGCAGCCTTGTGGAGTCTTCCATTCCATATCTTCACTGAATCTCTCCCATATATAGTCTCTTGTCACTGGATGCTGAGAGAACTGAGGTGAAAACAACAGAGAAGATAACTGGAAACAATGAAGGCTCAAGGAGACCTGGTGCTCAAGGGCTCTTACGTTAAGAGGCAATTTTGGTATAAAAGAGCAATTGGATTTAGCTTAAATTCCTCTCCTCTTAAACACCATTCACAGGAAACTACAGTATAGTCTGACTTTTCAATCCAAGTCCTCTCAAAACCATGAGGGTGGACTGTGCTATGGGAAATACATTATCAGGGTCTAAATCCTGATGTCCCTTGTCACTCAAACCTTAAGAAAAAGACCTTCTCAGTCATTATAGAAGAGAAAAATCAATGTCTTTGTCAGTCATTTTGTAAACGTGCATCCGCCTGGAGAAAGTTACGTTTTCTCCTTAAATTCAAAGCTCATTATCTAGTTTAGCTAGCCAATAAAATGTTAAGTTGAAATTTATATCTGAACATTAAGAAACATCATTCTTTTTTTTTTTTTTTTTTGCGGTACGTGGGCCTCTCACTGTTGTGGCCTCTCCCACTGCGGAGCACAGGCTCCGGACACGCAGGCTCAGCCGCTCTGCGGCATGTGGGATCTTCCCGAACCGGGGCACGAACCCGTGTCCCCTGCATCGGCAGGCAGACTCTCAACCACTGCGCCACCAGGGAAGCCCCGAAACATCATTCTTTTATCCAACTACATCACTGAATCATAGACCTGAAGCAAGTAAACTCAAAAGAACTAGAAATAAACAGACTAACCAACCCTGCTTTGAGGTTACGAAAATGGATCATTGCTCTTACCCTCACCACTTAGTAACAATGGTGAGACTGTTAACGATACCCATAAAGACTGTTTGCATGGAAATTCACATAAAACAGATGCCCACCTCTGCCTCTGTATTCTTAGGGCTCTTCAGGGAGATTCCCTCACTTTCCCTTTCCCCAAAGTCAGGACAGACTTACTGATGGGTTCGTCAGGGTGGAAAGCCACTTCATTGATGGAGCCAGCGTGGCCGGGCAGCTTATACAAGATCCTCCTGCTTGTGGTATCCCACACATACACAAACCTGCAAGGTATCATGAAGAGCAAGGCTAAGGCCTCCCAGAACTGAGGATTGAGGAGAAGCATGGCTTTTTCAGGGAAATGGAAGCAACCCTTTATTTATTCAATCCGTATTTATTGAACTGTGCCCTGACGTTTAGAAACTAGGAATATAGATTTTAAATAAGGCATGGATCCTGCTCTTGAGCAACTGAGTGGAGAAATAGGAATAGCTAAAAATATAAGCATTACTGGTATTTGCAAACACAAGCTTCTGAAATAGGAAAGATCATGGAGAAGAAAAACAAACGGTTTTTCCTAAAGATCCCACACAGAAATCTTCTTTAAAGAGCACTCAATATAATTAGGGTGTAGTTAACTTCATATGCACCTAGGAATGTCTTAAAGGTAACCCAACTCATGGCAGGTTGGGAGACTAGGCTGTAGATCCACCTGAATTTCTTCGTACTGTATTCAAATCACAGAGCCCAGAGACGGGACAGGACATTTCTGCTATATAAACAAAACCCAAACATACACTTGATCCAAATCTTGCATTGAATTCATGGACAGAAAGAATACTGAATTCTAGCATGGGAAGGGGCCAACAGAAACCAGCTAGTCTAAACTCATTTTACAGAAAAGAAAACTAAGGTACAGTGACTTTTCCAAGGTTACACAGTTCATTAGTGGCTCAGTGGCAGAATTAAAATGAGAACTCTTAATATATTCCGGTATTCTTCTTTCTCTTACCACCCTCAAATACCTTGTGTCCCTTGCCATCCTCCATTCTCCCCCAACGCTGCCAAAAGAAGTTCCTTTGACCCTCAGCCTTGCTTGGGTCATTTTAAGCTGAAGGTAAAATAAATAGATATTCTCTTCATATGACCATGCAAAGACAATCTGTTGGTGAATTTAAAAGGCTGGTTGTTTTCAAACAGGTTATACCAATTATTTACGTATTTGTTTTGTTCAGTCAACACCTAAAAGGGTACACTCATCAGCACTTGATTATAAAATACCTAGTTCTGAACAACATTACACTTTTGGTCTAAAATGCAAACAAACAAGAGCTTATTAATTACACTGTTTAGCTCACAAGGGCTAGGCTCCGTAGGAACTAAATATAAGTTCCACGCAAGGTGGAAGAGAAGGAACACCACCTGTCTACAGACTCCCTGGCTCTAATGCTCGTATTTTCCTCAGTGTCTTCTTTCTTGCCATGTGCAATAACTGTCCTCATTAATCCATCTAAAGCTATGTGGCCTACTGAAAAAGTGTGTAAGTTCTGGGTTCAAGTCTCAATGCAACTATTTAATAGTTAAATAACCTTAGACATTCATTTAACTTCTCTGAGCTTCTCTTTCCTTAGTCAAATGATGGAGGAATGATGGAGACAATGTTGATCTCACAGCTTTGTTGAGAGAAATAATGAAATAATGTATGCAAAGTGCCTGGCACAGAGAATTAATGATAGCTATTGTTATGATGAATAAATAAATGAGCAAAACAGAATCACATGAAATCAACAGGCTGAATATGAATAAATCACTCACAACAGAGAGACTGACCAGTCTTCTCATCCTTGACAGGAACTGTTGAAGGGTTTCAAATCTGAACATGAGGAGGTAGGTGAATTGCAAGTAGGGAGGAGAAATCTGCCAAATTCAGGCCAAGCTGAAAAGCAGTTTTCTGAGAAGGAACAATACATTTTCCAGGCACATAAAAGCCAGCAAAACCCCAGCGCTCCAAGGGTTTACTTTGAGGCCTCACTCTCCATGGCTGCCGATTAGATGCTAAATTTAGAGGGGTTCCTTATCCTCTCCTTACTCTGGCATGGCAACATTTGGGAGGAACCAGGCTCCTTACGTAACAGCGCTGCTTGTTGACTTGGGGCTAATTGGTGAGGTGGCCAACCCTCAGCAGGTAGACATACAGGCTCTTCCCAGACCAGAGCCATGCTTCCACATGTAAGGTTTAAAGGAACAGTGGGGAGGGAAAGA